GGGAAGGAAAAACTCCCTTTTAACAGGAAGAAACCTCCGGCAGAACCAGGCTCAGGGAGGGGCGGGGCCATCTGCTGTGATTGGTTGGGGTGAGAGATTCATATACACACACAATAACAGCCCCTCTCACTCAGCTCTGTGTGCTGACGGACCTGCCCCACATGGCTGGGACATTTGACCTCAGAACTGAAGAAGCTTCTCGGATGAAACGTCTTCAAGCAACTTAAAGAAGTCCAGACGCTTTTCTTCCCGAGCTCCTTAGACTACTCAGGGATTAATAAAGTATTCTAGTTCTGATTTGGTGTTATATAAATAAAATTGATCTGAACTGAATTGAAAATTTAATATTTTTGATCAATTATTAAATGATTTAACAGGGACTTATTAGAACTGTCATGGTCCTGGGTCGTTGACCCAGCGTTTTGTGTTTATTCTGATTTGTATTAGTTTAGGGTTGAACCTGAAGTTGATGTATATTCAGCCCTACCTGTGTCTGTCCTTGGTGCTCTGTTCATGTCCCCGTGTTGTGTTGCAAATCAGTCTGTTTCCTGCTTTACTTTGAAGGCTCGTGTTCTAGATTTCCTGTTTTGTTCTGACAGTCTGTTTCTTTTGTCATTGTGTTCAGCTTGTGTCCTCCAGTCATCATGTGTATTCAGATCAGCTGTTCTTCCCTCCTGTGTGCAATTACCCGATTACCTTGTGTGTGTATATATAGTGGGTGTCGGTCTGTGTTCGTTGTCGGCTTGTCTGCATTCTTCTGTGTATCTCTGCGTTCTATGGTGTTATGGTGTTCCTGTCTCTGCGGCTCTCTGCCCCGCACCCCTTTTGTATGGTCTCAGGTTTGTCACTTAGTTTCTCCCAGTTTAGGTTTCCGTTTGTAATTACTCATGCTTCATTGCCTGTTTTTGCCACTGCCACCGTGTAAATAAACGTCACTCGTTTGCTGCATCTTGGGTCCTCCTTTTCCCCCACACCACACGGCTCCCTCCGCCAGCCGTGACAAGAACTAATGATTAATAATTAAGATTGAATAGTTTTAATCTTTGGTGCAGTTGAGGAGGGTCTATTGTTATTTCTTTGTAGAGTTTTATGCTTAAATGGTTTCTTTGGTTTGTTTGCAGTTGGCCTGGGAGCAGAAGCTCCAGAGAGATGGGATTTTAGTGGCATTACTAACTGCCACTAAATTACTTACTGGTGCAGGTTCCGCTCTTCGGCAAAGGTTTCTTCATTTGGTTCTGTCCAAGGCATCCTAAGGTGACGCGTTAACGGTCTAAATGTCTTCTTTGATTTTGTCCAGCCACTGTTTCTTTGGTCTGCCTCGAGGCCGGCGTCCTGGGTCGATCCTCGTAGCCGTTTTTGCTACAGAGTTCTCATCGCTTCGAATCACGTGTCCATACCACCTCAGGTGGGACTCGAGCATCTTTTCCTTTATTTGGGCTACACCTAGTCACCTAGTATGTCCTCGTTCATAACCCGGTCCCATCTCGTTATTCCCATTCTCCATCGGAGCACGTGCATCTCCGTGGTGTTTAGGGCCTGCTCATGTGTGGTCAATGCGGGCCAACATGCGCAGCCATTTTCCCATGAGTCGATCTGGCATTTTTGTGTCACAAAGTACACCAGTGACCTCTCGCCATTTTAACCAGGCTGCATTATTCGTGCTCGGACATCGGAGGTGATATTTCCGTTGTAGCTGATGACTGAACACAGGTAGCGGAACTTCAACTCTGTGTTATGATGGTGCCATCAGTTTGGGAAGTCTCCTTCCAGGTATTCAGTCTTTTTCATATTGACCCCCATACCATAGTTGTCGAGCCGGGTCTTCCAGAGTTGAGTTGTCGTTTGAGTCTCTTCCCTGACCATATGAAGACAATCTTACCAAACAAAACGAGACACACTGATGTCTAGATTTCACATAATTCCATGATGTGGTAAATGATGAATACCTGAGAAAGGAGAAGTGTGAAATCTGTCATGGTCCTGAGTCTGTGGACTTTTTCTGTTTGTATTAGTTATCCTTGATTTCATGATGTGTTTTTGCTCGTCTCTTGGTTTTGATTTCTGTCTCTAGTATTCCCCTCTCCTCAGGTCCTTTGCATTTCTTGTGTTCTAGTTCTTTGGTTGTGGTTCTGTGCTCCTTCTGTTTAGTGTACACTCATCCCTGCCGGTGTGTTCCTTTTGTTCTCTGTCAGCTGTATCCCCTCGTCAAGTCCGCGTCTGTTATGTTTCCTATTTTACTTTGAAAGTCTGTGTCCTATGTCAGTGTTTTGAGTTTTGCTTCCCCTGGTGTTGTCATGTCAGATTACGCCCAGCTGTGCTCTCCCCCTGTGTCTCATTCCCCTCTTTATCCTTCAGTGTAGCCCTGTGTTTCTCCCTCATGCTGTGTGTTTCCCTGTGTGCCTCCACGTATGCTTAGTTTTCCTGATTCCCAGTTTAGGTTTTGTATGTTTTTTTTGTTCAGTAATAAAGCTGCTTTTTGACTTAGACTTTCGCCTCTGTTGAATCTGCACTTTGGGTCAATCCCTGCCTGCCACACAGCCCTAACATGACGAAATCCTTACAAATGCTGTCAAAGTTAGGGGGGGTTTTTTTTTTCTTCCTTTTCTAAAATCAAGTTTGAATCCAGTTTTTACACGATGCCGAGCAACATTTTAAATGTACAGAGAGATTAAAAAGTTTGAACCTGTAAAATCAGTCTGACATCACAGGTCCATCGGTGAAATCGCTAACCATGTTTTTATCTTTTACCTTTGATTTAAAAATGTGACGTTTGAGTCTCTGAATGATTGAATTAATCAGGACGTTGAATCGAACAGATAACCAAACACTGACAGATACAGGTACAGTCAGACAGGTGAGCACAGCAGCTTTCACTACCTGAGCTCATGGTGCGGTGGAGCAACAGAGACATCAACATCAGCTGCAGGACAAACATGTCGATGAAGCTGATCAGTCCTGATCTATTCCGGTTGGTCCTGATCCGTATTCGATCCGTCTGTGTCTCAGAGAGTCTTCACTTTCATTTTCTGAGCTCTGAGTTCCGGGGCAGTTTAGGCCAATCAGCATCCTCCTTTCACTGTCTCTGTCTCTGGGCAGATTTGAGGATTGTGACCAATCAGACAAAAATAATAAAACCGGTTTGCATTCTTTGCCACGGCTGCAGCATGACCAGCTTAACCTGGACTGTTTGTCCAGCAGCTGCTTCTTTGAGTGTGTCCATGAACACGTTATTAAAAAGTCGTTATTTGACTTCCTGAGTTTGTAAAATGAATAAAATCTGCTATTCGGTTTTTAAGTGATGACGTGATGAGTCCTGCTTCCAGGCCCGAAGTAGTCTGCATTTAATAAGGCTTTTGTGTTTTTAATATGTTTTAATGCTTTGTATCTTGTTCTATTTAATCTCAACAAGCCCCTAAAAACAGTCAGTGATTGCTGTCGGCCTCTTTCGGTTTTATTACCGCTAATCGTTTTAAAGCTCAGTTTTAAACCTCACAATGTAACTGCAGCCCAGCAGCAGTATATTAATGACTAACCTTGTGTTGTGGATGGATTATCTCAGTTGTTCTCCTGACTGAAGTTTGGTCCGTTTACAGCATCCTGCCATGCGATTACATTTGTCCCTAACCATAAAGTTAACTTTTATCAAGTGGAAAAAAGTTAGCGTTCATCCTCCAGCTTCACTGTGTTTATGCTAACATAGCTGTGTTGCTAGCGGCCACGTAGCACATCATTATATACCAGCTAGCCCAACTTCAGTAACCCTGCAAACGTCACTGCTGTTTAGTTTTCTGTATTCATTTATGTTGGAAGTGATAGCAGAGCTGTACGTTTGGATTGTTTCAGAAATCTCTCAGTCAGAACATGCTACATCATGTTTAGGTGGAAGCTAGCGAGCTAACTTCCTGCTAACTTCTAACTCTGTTAAATGTAATAAATTTGGTTTTCATGGATGTTAAACGTAATTGTTTCACCTGGTAAAGCAGCAACGCTGATGATTTTATTAAAGATGAAAGAATTTAGAAGTTTTTCAACTCTCAGTAATGCTACAGTGATCATTTGACTTTGGGACCTGCAGCAGAGTTTGGGCCCAGACATGGCTAATGACGTCAGACTTAAAGACCTGATTGTAAGGAAACAAGAAGGAAATGAGCCTGTGACTTTCTGCCCCAAAAGTGTCAGGTGCTGCAGGTGCAGTGTGTGGATTCAGACATTAGGCTGTGATACTGACCTTTGCCCTGCTATCTGCCTGCAGGCTCTAAAAGTGGAAGCAGAGCTGGAAACATGAGTGGCTGAGTCAGAAGCTGTCACGCTGATCCTCAGCCAATCACACACCACCGCTGACACACACACACACACACACACTGGTTTTCATATCTTAGTGAGGACATCCCATTGACATAATGCTTTCCCTAGCTGCTTACCCTCACCATCAAAAATGAATGCCTGACCCAACTGTAACCCTGACACTAAAACCACATTTTGAGCCTCAAAATTACCTTCAAACCCGCAGGGACAGACATGATGTCCCCATAAGGGCTGTTGGTCCCCACAAGTATAGTGGCATGCCAATTCTCTGTCCTCACAAAAACGTCTGAACGTGTACACACACACACACACTGCAGTGAGTCAGTGGTTTCTAAAAACGCCCTTGTCCAGCGTGTCCTCATCTTTCCAGGAAAAACAGGAAGTTAAAAATACAGATGCACCTGTGCTGCTCAGAAATGCATCTGTGCGACCTCTTACCCACTTCAGTACACACACACACACACGCACACATTTGTGGTCCTCTGTGTCAGGTATCTCTGGATGTTATGTGTGGACTGTTTTTTCTTGTTTATTTGACATGTTTCAGTCACGTGTTCATTTCTCCTGCCAGCAGGGGCAGTTCAATTCAATTTAAGTGATATAGCACCACCACAAGAACAGCCGGCTCAAGGAGCTTTATACTGTCAGGCAAAGACTACAGTATTACACAGAAACTCCATTTAGACGACCTCGTGTGTGAGCAAGCACTTTGGTGACAGTGGGAAGGAAAAACTCCCTTTTAACAGGAAGAAACCTCCGGCAGAACCAGGCTCAGGAACTGGCTGGGGTGAAGAGAGCTGCACTGACAGTGCTGTTATGAAGTAAACCTGAACATGTTTAAATCACAGAGCAGGAAGCGCCCCTCTCACCGTGTTTAACAACATCAAACAGGAAGTGGAGAACCCGAAACATTTAAACACAACTTATTTTTCCTCTAAGCTCCTCCTCCTCATCATCATTAAAGGAGAACACTTTCAGAAAGTATTTTAATTCTGAAAGAAACAAAATTCAAAGTTCATCTGACAGCCCTGCTCTGTACTTTATTATGGCGGGCCAACACTATTTTACTTTGGCGGGGCACTGCACTTTGCCATTGAAGCTGTTTTTTCAGTTTTTGTATCTCATCTTCATTTCATGAAACTGTAGCAATATTTAGTTTCTACAACAAAAAGGAAATGAATAAAAGTCAACATTCTTCATGATCGCTTTATTTTTGCTGTTTGGGAACAAACTGAAAACACCCAAACATTTTTAACTCATGTATCACATAAAAAAAATAAAAAATAGGCTCTTATTTACAAAATCTTACACACAGGTAACTTCCTGTTACTACAGTAAATAATGCAACAACAAGTATCTAAAAAAAACAAACATTTTCTCTGTTTTCACTGACAGGAAACAGCTGAATCAGAGGGGAATGGCTGTCAGGTCAGATCTCGAGGCAGAGCTGAGGCTCCGCCCTCAACCCGTGTCCTGGTGGAGAGACGGGGCGTTGGACCGTTTAAAGGGGACGCTGTCCTCAGAAGATGGGAACCACCTGAGAGGAGTTCTCAGAGTTCTGATCTACCTGAAGAAGAGAAAGAAAAACAAATGGATGACATCATCAGGACAGGATTAGCTGACAACAGACCGCCAAATGACCCCGTGATGTCCAAAGTGCTGCTGCTGTCGCTGAGATCACACTAAGTTAAACTGGCGCGCTCACCTCACTGTATACGGGGGGAGGGGGGCAGTGAAGTTCAGGCGCTCTCATTATGAGCCCACCCTCCTCCTCCTCGTCCTCGGTGCCATCGTAGTCGTGGAGCAGCGGCGTGCGGGGGCCGTCCACCCTGAGGTCGCGGTGGATGTTGCTGTAGCTGGGTGGAGCCGAGGGGAAGGAGGTCCAGCTGGAGCCGGCCTGGCTACACATGCTGCTCGTCCGGCTGCCCACACCGCTGAACGGGATCGTTCCGATGACCAGCGGCAGCTCCAGAGTCAGCTTCTCGCTGCCAGGGATGTGCAGGTAGATCTGAGGGGGTGGGGCTACAGGTTAAGCCTGCATCATTCCATTTTACTCATTTTACTTCTGATCTTATGACAACATTAGTGGTCTCTCACCATGAGAGCATAGTCCACCTGGATGATGTCACAGCCAAGCAGAGAGGGTTTCAGTTTGGGCACCCTGATGGTCCTGCCCTGCCACATGTCGCACATCCCAGAAATTATGTGGTTTCCTCGCACCGCCGACAGCTTCTGACGCAACACCTGCACACAGGAAACCGCACAGGTCACACTTCCTGTCCCATGGCACTCACATCTGAAAGTAAAGGTTAGGGCGTCACCTTAGTGCGTCCGTCCACGGCATACGAGTGTTTGGCGATGATGGCAGCCTTCGGCACCACAATGCGGGAGCACGTGTTCTCGAACTTGGCGTTGATGAAGATGTCCTCGCCCTCGCAGAAGCCCTTCCTGTCGATCTGAGCGCTAATGGACACCTGGCCATCAGGGATGAACATGCAGGTGACTTTCTTCTGAGCGGAGGCTGCCACCGGCGCCTGAGGGGAGGGGGAGGAGTTAATGAGCAGCACAGGTGACATCTCACAGCAGAGCTGCGCTGCATGGCCTTATGCAAGGATTATTCTGAACTGCACAGTTCAGAATAATCCTTCTTTACTGATACTGAGCCCCCCTTACTTTGAGCTCCACCCCCTTTAAGACTACTATCCTCTGACTGCCTACCCCTCACTGACAACAGATGGGTAGGGTTCTAGCCCTCTCTATGACATCACAGAGATCAGAGAGTAGAAAAGCCTGTAACAAACTGAGCATTTCTCCGTGTCTGATATGAACATCTAACAGTAGAACAGGAAGTCAGCGGCAGGAGATGTGCATTAACCAGAATCTACTTCCTGTCTGAAGTTTGATTCCGGGCGTTTCGTACCAGCAGGTCGGCTCGGTTCACGTCCAGCGGCTCCTCCACCTCAAATTCCTTCTCACACTGCAGGGCATGCTCGGACGGGCGGCGCAGCTCGGCCCGCACGTAGTACCGCACCGAGCCCAACTTCCCTTTGAAGGACGACACCAGGCACCTGAAAGCAGAGCAGTGGCGTTCAGCAGCATGATCAACACACCATCAGAAAGCAGCGGCGGGACTGGAAACTCACCCGGGTGGCGGCAGCTCGAAGCCGAACTGGAAGCTGAAGGTTTTACCAGCAGGAAGCAGGAAGCAGCCGTCAGAGTCTGAGACACAGGAAATACGTAATGAGCAACTTCCTGTTTCACATTAAAGCTCAATTCTCTGACTGCAGAAAATGGAGCTTTTACTTCTTGGGAGTAAAAAGAGCGACTTCCTCCGTTTCTTTTTGTTTTTATCCTGTCTGGGGTTGTGTCCAAATTCATGGGCTGCATCCTGCTGAGGACCGGCCTTCGCGGTCTACGTGGGCCGGGTCCTCAGAAGGTCGGGTAGGCCGGAAGTAAAGGGCTGTGAAATTGGACGGCCTCGCCTTCTGATCTGCGTCAGCACTGTGTCGGTGGAGTTTAATAAACTCGGCCGTCTGCTCCTTGCTATCTAAAATATAACAGGACACTGGAGTAAACTCTCGACTGTCTCACACTTCTGTTTAATCAGTTTTCTGTTTGACGTTTAGTCAGCTGTGTGAAAACCAAGGAGGAACCCACCCGATGGATTAATAAAGTTTTATTTAATCTAATAATCTAATAACTTTGATCTCAGCCAAACCGATTTACTCACGAACAAACAAAACACTGAAAAAAGCCCAACAATAACATTTTTAGGTTGTCTAAGTGACTTATATATATCACGTTTAACCTGAGTAGGGAAAGTCCGCGGTAATCTGAACATGATGTGCCGGGAGTTGTGCCGTTCTCTGCGGCTTCAGTGACCCTCGAGCTCCCGGCGAGCTATCGAGCTGGTGGGTAACAGACGTCTCTGAAAACGTCGAAGCACTTTCGCAAATATGTGGTGTCTTGATAAACCGAGAAGATATATGTCTACACACCCACATTCTCGCCTGAAAATATGTTAAAAGTTTATTTTGTGACCCAGAAAGATTAATAAGAGTAATTTTAAAACTTAGTAGCGGCCGCCATTGCCGGAAACTGGAGTTTGGCTGGGCCACGCTACGAATTCTGGGATATGGTGGGCCACGAAGGACACACCCGACCCATCCTTCAAATTCGGGGAAAAGGAGGACGCATTTGTCGGCTGCATTCGGAGGAGTCAACGAATTTGGACAGCCTTCAGCGCATCGCTGTGACATAATCGGTCTATAAACCCGTCCTCAGGAGGATGCAGCCCATGAATTTGGACACGACCTGGGTCTCACATCCTGCAGTTCCTCTGGAGTCCAGCAGAGACAGTAGTGAGCCAGACCCGCAGACTCCTATGTTAAAATGAACATGTTTACAGCGTGAAGCAGACACTGCTCTGGTCCCTGAAGACAATTTCCTCCTTCATTCGTGGGTTTTTATAAGTACAATTAAAAGTTTGCATTACATCAGTCAATCACTGACAGACTGCAGGAAATCCTAAAATCATGCAGATTCAGATTCTTCCGCATGTTTCTCTAACTGATCTGGATAATAAAGTTTTTTTTATGTGAGCTTTGAATCGATACCTGTATTGATTAACTAATTCCTGTACTGTCTGATCTCGGAGCTTCACCTGGGCTAAGCGCCTCCTCCAGCCGCACATCCTCGTCGTACTTCAGGTACTCCACCTCCTGGCTCCTCCCGCGCTTCTTGCGGGGCTGGACGCGCGCGCAGCCGGCGGCGGTGACGCGGAGGCCGTCCACCCTGCAGGGCTGCTCGGCCTCCAGCTGCACGGAGCCGGACAGCTTGTCCCCGCTGCTATAGAAGGCGCGGCCAGGTTCGGAAAACACCACCCGGAACAGCCGCAGCCTGCTGGCCGGGGACAGAACCATGACGACGGCCGAAACGGACCGGAAGTCAAGGGGTCAGAGTGTCACGGAGCGACGGTGAAATGTCCGGTTAGTGCAGAAACCGCCACCAAGGCGCGAAAACAAAATGAAATAAGGGTTTAATGAACCAGGGCAGCTGCTAAATTAGAGAACTGGAAGTGCCACCGGGCCAGGCTGTCGGTACCGTCTGTGATTCTTTCTGTAAACAACCCCGGCCCGTTTTATACCGCAGGAGGGGCGGGGGTCCCGCTACCCTCCGAGCAGCACGTGCGGACAGCGTGAACTCGCCAAGCCTCTGCTACAGGGAACTCTGTGATTGGCCGGCCCAGAACGTCAGCCAATCGGAGCGCGAAGTGGACGCGTGAACAGTGCGTGAAATGGACTGTGGGCGGGGCGTCAAGCTGGCGGGCCATAAATGAGAGAGAGCGCCCAAAGAGCGGAGTCATCAGAGTGAGAATAGAAACCTTCAGTAAACAGCTCGTATACACAGGCAGCAACACCTCCATCCACAGCTTACACCCATCGCCATACACTACACCTCCACCCACAGCTTACACCCATCACTATGCCTGGGTGGAGGTCAGGGCTGGACTGGGACAAAAAAATCGGCCCGGGCATTTTGACTAGAGACCGGCCCACCAGGTATTATAGGAAAAACCATAAAGCCTTTGAATGAAAACAAACGCTGTTGTCACAGTGATGGACGCTGTCTTGTTGGTATATATGTATCAGTCTAATAAACTTAAACCTACACCATCCTCCCTATTCTGGTATTCTAAACATTACCCGAAAGCAGACTGCTTGGTCGAGTTAACCTGAACTATCTACAACACATGGTGAAAACCTGAAATTAAGACAGAGGAGACTAGAGGTGAGACATGATCATTACTGATTACTGATGACAGATTTAGATATATTTTCATAAACCATTCATTTTCCACATCAATAAACAGCATGGCAGGGCCAAATATTCTTTCTAACATGGCAACCTTTACAAAGTGAAAGGAGAGAAAGACAGGTGAGAAAGAATAAAACTTAATTGGCTTTTTGATGGTATTTTACACACAGCACTGGTACAGTATCTAGAAAATGTGGGAAATACTGGCATCATATACAGTACTTACTTCTGCAGAAATTATGATGGGACCCTAAAAAAATTACTATGTACAATAACCCTAAACAAGACATATTAATGCCCTACCTGGCCCCCTGGCAACACTTTGCTAGACCCGCCCCTGCACAGTTACCAGCTGTCAGCTACTTAGAAAAGGATCCTGGGGTTATTAGTCTCTCAGAAACAGTTCATAACTTCCCTACACAGAATAACTCCAGCTTTGTGTCTTTTTCATTCTAGCTGAAGTCCGGAACAAACTGTGTTCCTTTTCACTTCAATACGAAACGCATAATATTTTCTCTGAATACGAGACGATTCCGTTTTTTTTACCGGACAGTTGGAAACTCTACTAACTAACCTTATAAATAAAATAAGATAAAACAAGTTCAACATCAGTAACATCATAGCACCCGCCCAGCAGTATATAAACTCCGTCATGCTAGCTAGTACGCAGTAGTTATTGTAATTGACTGTAAAAAGTCAGCAAAACGAAAATAAACTACACCTAAACTTGGTTCATATCTGACCAGACCGACTGCAGGTCATAACTTCTTACCTGAAGTTCAGTTAATCGCCTCGGGTCTCTGCTCCTCCTGCCTTTCCGTCATCCACCTGCCAGCGTGTTGCATCTGCTGGCCTCCATCACTTGCTAATGTTACTGAATCTGTGGAAGCTCCGCAATAGTCAAACAACTGAGTTATTTTTACACATCTCCCAGCATCTGGCCAATCCACCACCTTTCAGTGTGTATACCGTTACGGAAAAAAACGGGAAAAAAACAAACAAACCCATCGGCCCACCGGGCAAATGCCGATGGCCAGTCCAGCTATGGTGGAGCTGTACGCCATGGCTAGAACCAGACTGAGAGACAGCTCCATCCATCAGGCTGTCAGGATGCTGAACTCTCTCCCTGCTCTCACACACACCAACTCCAGACCTGCATCCACCTCTTCCCTCTGTACCCCCCCAGACATAAAAAAAACAAACTAAACATCCACCATCACCCTTTCACTGACTGCCCCCCCCACACACGAACTCTTGCCCACAGTCACTATGGTTGTGTTGGACACTGTTGTTTATGAAAGACTGCATTGTGTTGTATATTAGACTTCTATTTTTTAATCTTTATATTGTTTTACTGTAACACTGAGGGCTGTGTGTGTTTGACTCCACCCACACATACCTATACACTACACCTCCACCACCAGCTCACACCCATCACCATCCAGCTACAGCTGATCACCACCTACAGGAAACCTGAGAGCTGACACACAGCCGGAGCTGGTGCACGGCTCATGTAAAAGACACTTTCACACTTTTATAACTGTCCATGTACGGTCTCACATGTGCATGGGGTGGTGCTCTTTTTGTGTTTTGCCGAATGCTCTTCCAGTTTGTGAGGTCACATCCAATCAAAATCCTCAAATTTTACTCATTAAAGCTCAGCCCTCACGGACAGTTTGTTATGATTACCTGTCGGTCACAGAGGCCACGCCCCTATTTACAGTGGCTTGCAAAAGTATTCAGCCCCCTTGAACTTTCCCACATTTTGCAGTTATTTATTTGTAAAACATGTTTGGAATCATGTCTGATTTTCGTTCCACTTATCACGTGTTTGTGTTGGTCTTTCACGTGGAATTCCAATAACATTGATTCATGTTTGTGGCTGTAATGTGACAAAATGTGGGAAACTTCAAAGGGGCCGAATACTTTTGCAAGCCACTGTATGTAAACAGTTGAGTTCTGGTGCAGGTGAAACAGCCCACACTGCTTACATAACAGGACACTGGAGTAAACTCTCGACCATCTCACACTTCTGTTTAATCAGTTTTCTGTTTGATGTTTATTCAGCTGTGTGAGAACTATAACTTTAATCTCAGCCAAACCGATTTACTCACAAACAAATCAGACACTGAAAAAAGCCAAACAATAACATTTATAAGTATCTAATTGACTTAATATATCATGTTTGACCTGAGTAGCCAAAGACCACGGAACACTTTTGCAAATATGTGATATCGTGATAAGCCGAGCAGATATTTGAAGTTCACGCAGCTACATTTTTGCCTGAAAGTATGTTTTGTGACATAGAGTAATATTAAAAGTAGCTGCTGCCATTGTTGGAAACTGGAATATGAATATGAATTCTGGGATAATATGGGCCACAAAGGATACACCCGACCCATCCTTCAAATCTGGGAAAAGGGGAACGCATTTGGAGCAGCTTTTGAATTTGGACAGGCTTCATCGCGTCGCTGTGACGTAATAGGCCTACAAATGCGGCCTCAGGAGGATGCAGCCCATGAACTTGGACACCCCTAATGTCATAGTATTTCCAATACTGACACCTTTATGAAAGCAGCAGTGTGCGTGCCACTGTGACTTTCACTTTTCACAATAATGATTTAACACAACACCTTTAAGCTTTTATTTTGAAATTGTGCGTTTTGGAAAGTTGAACGTAGAGCACTTGGAGACGAGCACAGGCTGTAAAAAACAGACGAGAGTGATCACGGAAAGGTTTGGACGTGTGAGAGAAAAGACGTAAATCACAGTCACAGCAGGGCGCTCTGACACAGTTCAGTGGGCTGAACTCACGTTGGTGTTGATACTGTTGATGTTTGGATTGAGCTGTTCCCTGCAGGCCATTCAGAAAGAAGAATACAGGTCACCTGACAATCATTTCAGCCAGTAAGCACTCGCGTTTACACTGTGTGGAAAATGAATAATTCTGTGAACTCAAGAAAAACGAAATAATTGTCCTGTCCACAGCTGTCAACATTACCTCGTCAAGCCTAAGAGCCCGCTGCTGACCCTGAAACGGCGGTGAGGTCGCAAACCGTGAGTCAGCATCACGCGTTTTCAGGTAGACGGGACCTCATGAAACAAACAGGACGAGTCAGGCTGCTTGATCCATGCTTTATTACAGGAAGTGAAACACAGTCAGCAACCAGTCAGCAACTTTCCACAGTGAAGCTCCACTCACGTGTTTCACCTGGACATGAAAACCAAAACAGATTCTATCACCTGGATTACAGAGCCCGATTAGCCCCACCCCCCACACGTTCATAGATCTGAGGCTCAGACAGAAACGTGACGGCGCGATGTGTCGGGTGTCTCGCTCTCACCGCCATCTTAAATACGCCAATAAATAAACAGTAAGTTAGCGTTTGTTCAAGTTTAGAGGAAAGAAGCAGCAGAGTTCCCGTTAGCATGTTCGTCCTCTCCGAGTCCGAACGCCACCAGCACACAGACGTACAGCAGTCTGCTCATATGTACACGCCACAGGTCAAAGGTCAGCAGGCTTCCTGGCCCTGTGGCCTCCTGGGTCCCTCCAGTGTGACGTATGAGAGGGTCATCTGTTCAGCTTCTCATCAAACCTGCAGAGAGACAGGAAGTGGATTCATGAACCGCGCCAACATCAGCAGGCCTTAACATCTCTGTGAGCGTCTTCGTCTTCTCTCCGTCTTCCTCACGCCACAGATCACGTGACATTTTTGCAATCGTCTCTCAATAAAAGGCTCAATGCAAACTGATGGAGGGCTTTTAATTTGGAAATGATACAGGAAGTATGACTCAGTAAAATAGGAGTTAGTCAAACAGAAGGAATAAGAAAAGGCTGTTATCACCAGCTGTTAAGGTGAATAGGGGTCAAAGGTCAGTATGGGTTAGGTCTCAAACATACAGAAGTAGCAGCTAACCCAGCTGCCACTGTTAGCCTTTTTGTGAGGTGTTATAAGCGTTTTCTTGCATTTTGTATTTAATCTGTGTGTTCAATCGATCATCAAAGTTATATTAGAGCCAGATTAGAGTTACAATGGAGTCTGAGCCAGAGTGGAGTCAGAGTGGAGTCAGAGCGGAGTCAGAGCGGAGTCAGAGTCAGAGCGGAGTCAGAGTCAGAGTGGAGTCAGAGCAGAGTCAGAGTGGAGTCAGAGTCA